TGGACTCCCTCACCCCCAGACTAATCATGGTGTGGGGGTGGGTAGCCCCGCCCCTTCCCATTTAGGCCCACCTCTTCCGGGGTAGCCCGGGGCTACTTCAAAAATTTTTGAAGCGTCCCCTGGGCAAAAATTATTGCCCACCCCAGTCTATAAAGAACAGCACTGACACATAGTATTTGTGTAACACAATTTCGATTCCTTACTTTAAAGGTTTGTATTGAACTTCATCCACTTGGATCCCAAACAGCTCTTTCGCTGCATTCTTGTATATGTGCTCCAAATAGCCACCAGAACCACCACCCGAATGGCCAAGGAGCTCCTCTTCTGAAACACTGCTAAACCTAGGGAGAGAGGAAGAAAATGTAGGTACCGCTTTGCAACTGCTTATATAATAAGATACCCAGTTCCAAGTCCATTGGCACCGAGAATCAGATTTCAAGTACAGTGAATAGTCTCAGACTGCTAGTAAAAAAGTCACTGTGTTAACACTGTCCCTTTCCCCCTCTTGAAACAAAATTACCACACCACGCACAGTAACAAGAATCTGTGGAATTCAGAAGTAATATGGAACCAGCTGTAACTGCCATGAGACCCTCAGGATAGCTGTGAAATGCCAGGTACTGACTATTTATAATTCCAGGGCAATGTAAATTTAACTTTACACTGTTAGGTATGGGTTTGATCTAATGCTTACTGAAAACTTTTTAAAAGGAAAATTAGTTCCAAGTCAAACATGTCATCTTCAGGTAAGTCTGTCACACTATTAGAGTGTTCAAGTCTTAAATGTGTAACATCTTTGCTAATCCCTCCTACAAGAGGCTATTTAAACATCCTAGTACATTTTCTTCAGACATTAATTTGCCATGTCAACACATGTTCAACTGAAGCAGCCATTAAAAAATAGAGATTGCAATGTTTAACTTTACATGACTGTACAGTCTTAGACAACTTATTTAGAGAACCCATTCAATAGAAACCATCCTCAAACATGTCTACCCATAGGAATTTCTAGGACACTAATTGCAGCTGGGCATTTAAACAGATCTTGCACTTCATATCTCATGCATTTCCATTCCTGAAGGACCCAGATTATTTTGATGGTAATGCTGTTGCTCAGGGTCACAGCCACCCTGCAGAATAACCAGCAACCCTATGGATTTTTTTTTTTTAACTGAAAGTGGTTTTGCTATTTATACACCTTGCTCCAATAGTTGTGAAATACCAAAAGAACAGTCTCTGCAAACCAACTTCAGACTCAGAAATGGGGACATCTCCCAAAAGCATTTACGCAGCAGATATTCCAGTACAACTGGTTTAATGGAGAGAGAAAATGGCCTCAGTTATCAATTCTGGCCAGCTTGTTCCATATCTTTAATGAATAACTTCTAGGAAACCAGGAGGAACAAAATTAATGAGGTCAAACTTCTTGAACATTACCTCAGCCTCTCCTAGAAGCCTGCAAGCAAAAGGGCAACACTCTTTATATGGCCCAAGAAAAGCCATAGGTCCAACACCTCAAACAGTTCTATTCCAGTAATCTATCAAAGCACAGCTGGCTATTTGGAAAGTCACTGTAATGCTTCTTGAAAGTAGCAAACCACATGCAAGCCACAACAATGGCTTTTGTTCCGAGAGAATAATCAGAAGAACTATGTGCTTATACCCACTCAAACAGTGTGACACTTGCACGCTGCTGCTCACAGCTGCAGAAGGGAAAACACTTGGGATTTCTGTCAGATCTAAGATATTGCTTCTTGCAGATAAAATCTCAGCCTTAGAATGGTGAAAAACAGTATTGCACCCTGTACTCAGCTTCAGAGGCTATATTTAACTCAGTTCTTGTTCACAGGAACTGAGATTCATTAGTTAAGTGTTGCAGTGTCCAGTCTCACGTACTGCTGCTCTCGGAAAGAGAGTCAGATAGTAAGCCCCATCACTGGCTAAGGAAAGCAGTTATTATAGTAGCCAAAATGCAAGGATTTTTTGGCACTTATTTTATATTTTTCCTGCCAAATTTCATAACCTCTTAGCAGCCTTTTCCACATGCCAAAGGATAAAGTGGAATAACAGACATCTGACTGCTTATGTTAAGTCCTCCAGACTCTGCGGAATACGTGCTGTTTATAATTAATCATCTACTAGAAGGACAGCAAAAGGTTAGAGAGGAGCATCATCATGAAATACAACATTAAACAAGCTTTTCTAATAAGTTAGCCAAAGACTTTATCAAAGAGTTAAGAGATTTTGTTCTCCTTTATAACTGATATTTCCATAGCAGCATTCTCTGACCATATCCAAACTGCAGAATTGCTTATATTTGACTAATAGCTTAACAAGTATACAGATAAAACTAAAGGACATATCTACATAGGAGATTTTTCCTGTTATATCAGTATAACTATAAGGCTGTGTCTACACTGGCATCCCTTCCGGAAAAGGGATGCTAATGTAGCACATCGCAATTGCAAATTCCGGGGGGGATTTAAATATCCCCCGCGGGATTTGCATTTACATGGCTGCCGCTTTTTTCCGGCTTGGGGAAAAGCCGGAGAAAAGCGCCAGTCTAGACGTTATTCTCCGGAAAATAAAGCCTTTTCCGGAGGATTTCTTATTCCTACTTTCAAGAAGCCGCAAAAAAGCGGCAGCCATGTAAATGCAAATCCCGCGGGGGATATTTAAATCCCCCCCGGAATTTGCAATTGCGATGTGCTACATTAGCATCCCTTTTCCGGAAGGGATGCCAGTGTAGATACAGCCTAATAGTATAACTCCCCCCTGCGGACACACTTACTCCAGAATAAAGGTGACTGTTCTAGGTTTAGCTTAAACCGCTTCCAAAGCAACCTATACTGAACTGTGAAGAGGCATTATTGTACTGGTATTCCTTTTCACGTCCAGTACCACTACAGCACTTACAATTCAAACTCTATCTTAACGGTTCCACTTACCTATGTAGACAAGCCGTAAGTCAACACAAAAGCAAAGCCTCATGCACACACATGCCAACCAGACAAGTCTTCTAATTCATAAGCAGGAAGTAGTTCAAAGTTGCCACCATCATGCATTCCAAACTCTTTACAAACCAAACATTGATGTATTTAAGACTCACATCATGTGAGGCGTATGTGTACTATCCACATTTTACTGGCCAAGGAAACAAACAAAGAGTAAGCAACTGGTTCAGAGTCCGAGTTCTGAAAATAATACAGGGAATACTGACTCCTGAGCCACTGCGCTAACCATCAGAGATGTGGTTTTCTGTTTTTTGAAATCTGAAAGAAGACCATTGAATTTAACTGGCTCTGCATCAGGCCCTTAATCCAAAATACACATCTGCTCCTGCAGTTTCACTGAGATACAAAGCACTGGAACACATGATCCATCACAGCATACAAATGGCTAAAGGCAGATTTTTAATCAAAATACTTGTCAATTATGTGGAACTACATGGATATGAGGAACAGGCAGCAATACACACATCTGAGGGTTTTTTTTGTTTTTTGTTTTAACTAAGGCAGTTTGATTTCAACTAAGTGAGATTTAAAGAGGCCATCTTCATTGCACATTCCCATTTACTAGGTAGAAGTATGGGAGAGAACAACTTTCACAAAAATGAAAGACTGATTAAGCAGGTCTCAAGCAAATGTGCTTCCATCCAAGTTTCCTTACACAGCTCTGCCAAAGTACAAAAATCTAACCTGACCAGGTATCCCAGTCAGAGGCTCTCTTGAACACAGCTAATGGGGTTGAGGTATATTAGATTTGTTATGTCTAAACAGGGAGTAGGATCAACAGCAATCTCAGTTTCATGTGCAACCTGAATCAAGATAAACACCCTGGTCCTGTAAATAATAATGTGAAGATGGAAAGCGGTATCTGCATGGAGTTCTGTTGAAATCGTTTTTGTGTAGATGCAGCACGCTGCCCATGTGGTTCAGTTTGCAGGACTGGAACCTTAAAAATCTGTTTGTGAAAAGCAAAATCTTGTACACTAGTCTACTAAGCCATGTGAATGGATTTTTCCCCCTTTTACAGCTTCTAGGGAAATACTGAATTTGTAACACTTCAGTTTCATTAATGTATCAAAGTATTGCAAAGTCACTTTCCATGCACTGATGAAAACACATCCTTTTAGTTTAACGTGCTGTGGAATACTGCTGCTAATGCCAATTTACATTAATAAAACCATCTGATTTCTAAATCCTCCTTATTCTTGTAGTCACTTAGCTCTCAATGCAGTTGGCATATAGCCAGCAATGTTAATTTTCGAGTTAAAGCATCTCACCTGCTTTGTACATTAGTCTCATTTGCTTTGTACATGGTCTGTATGCTATTGAATAAGAGAACGATAGCTGAAGTTACCTTGATATTTTCTCATTTGTTCTTTAGCAATGGAATACATACAATACTAAAAAACTAAATATAGCAGACCTGTACATTTCTGTATTATATTCTCCCTTCTAGACTTTTTTCCATCTGCTGATTAATTTCTAAATTTGTGTTTGGAGAAACATCTCTGAAAACAGATGCAGTATGAATGTTAGCAATTTAAAAGTAATGAAGACAGGACAGAAAAGTGTGGACAGCAGAAAATTTATGTCACTACTATAATCTTACTAAGTGAATTCCTCCACTCTTGGTGCTTTACAGAAAAACAGCTCTTAATGGTTGGGCTATGAAAATAAGCCTACAGAAGACATTAACTTCAGATTCTTTTAAAAGGTTTACTAAACAAGCCCCTTATGACGCACTATTGTTCTTAACAGATTCAAAACCTGCAAGACAACAGCTAAAGTCTGAGCAAGATCCACAAAAGATCCAAATACCTGCAACTTCTGTGGTGTTAAAACCATTTGAGGAAGGGGCAAATTCTGCTGTGGAACCTGGCTGAGAGAGCATTTCAGTACATGTATAAGTGAGATCATTTGTTCTTACATGGTATCCAAAGGAGCAGGGTCCACATCTGACAGGGAGACGCCCTCTTGTTCCAACAACCGTAGAACTTCTCCTGAGACAGAACCATAGATGTAAGTGTTCTCTTTTAGGGGAAAGGAAAATGTTCATCGGAATGAAAGCGTAGATCCATAAATGTAATTAGTTACAGCTATCTCTTAGTGCCTATTTTTCCATAACTTATTTCACTTCTATTGTGTGGTAGTTCAAAATGCAATGCAGGAAAGCAGTCTGAACTTAGATGTCTCAAAGATGAATGCAAAAAACCATTCCAAGCAGACAAGTTTTCATTGGTTCGTGTCCTAGAAAATCAAGTGTTCAAATGCAAAATTACTGACAGAACAAATGAGGTCATGAAAGCATATTTTACAAAGCACTGTAACCCACAGATATGCACTAGACTAGAGGATGAGTGAGTTGAAGCTAGACAGCATTGTCTACATGGCATTTCAGAGCTTTCTTTAAGGATCAGCAACTATTACTGTACATCATAAGAACCAATGGAGCATCTCTTGTTCCCTTACCTGTAGTAATTACACAGTCAACCTCACGAGTTTGGTACTCTTGGCTAAAAAAGTCTGGTCTTGAAGCTTCTAGCTTTTTGTCATAACAGGGCATTACTGTCACATGGTAGGTCTGATCAGGTGAAAAATTCTGCAAAAAATAAAGTAAGATTGTACAGTTACATTAACTAATGTTAATTCAATTAATAAAGGCATAAGGAGGCATGAAGCATCTAGAAGCCAACTGTGCCTCTGGAAATCTCTTTTGCTATTAACAATTTCAGAAATCTTACAATATATTTTAGAAATATGCATCTGTCTGTCAATCCATTTGTGAGTCAGTTTGTTCAAGAACTCCTCCTAAACAGTAAGACCGAGGATCACCAAATTTGGTAGGCAGCTTCTTCTTTTTATAACTTAAAGCAAGGTCACAGTTTAGTTGTACTAGGATAATGGGATGTGCATGGAAGATGACTGTTTTGTATTAAAAAGGTAGTAGGGGGGGTTCATAGTAGCAGGGACAGTTATACATGGCCACAGGGGGCAGCAAGCACCCTAGTGAGAAGTCCCTGGCCAGCAGCATGGCGCCTGCTACCCTGGCCTGTCCCAGGGAGCAGCTGCCAGCCCCTGCCTCCCTGAGCTGGCCCTGGGGAGTGTCTGTCAGCAGCAGGCCTGCATGGACCCTCAACCCTTCAGGCTGGCCCCAAAGAGAAGCTGGAGAGTAGGTACGCAGGCCCCCACCCACCCCAGACAATGCTGGATACTTTCTGTTCCTTCTCAATTGCGCAGAAAATATTAAGAGTATCAATCTGTGTAGTAAGCTTGAATAGCTTTTTTGGGGGTGCTGTTTTTTCTACTAAGCCAGTCAACCCTGGCAAATTTAGTCACTTAAGAGTCTCTAATTACATGAGTACTCAGATGTTTCACATATACTGGCCAGTCTCAAAGCCATGACAATTTACATTCTGTAACAACAACTTCAGGAAGTTAGCTAAAGACAAGTACAGAAGTTCATCACAATCCAAGAAGCTCCTAGGGACTAAGGAAACAAGTTATTGAATCAAGGTCATTGTTTTAGTATCTCTTGCCAAATGTTCTGAGTAGGTGCCAGATGTCTGAGTTTATTCAACAAAAGTGTTAAAATGAATGTTCACTAATTGATAATGAAATACAAACATTAAACTTGGAAAAAGCACAGTTTTTTAGTGACAGACTATAACTGCATGTAAACGAACTCAAACTCTGTGTGAGATTAAGATAGTCGTATGCTTTTAGATATGAAAACCATTAGAAAAGCAAATAAAGTGGGATGAGGGATGTGACAAATCCAATTCTTCTGGATTTGGTGAATAACAGATAAAGGCTTTAACTGACGTTTACAATGCCAAACCTGAAACTCCACTCCTAATAGGCACTTGCAGTGAAAGAGCTGGGCACCTAAAGGGGCAGTTGGGAGAGAGAGGAGAAGGACTGCTCTAAGATTAAGTATGTGAAGGAGACAATTGGTGACATGAGAGTGATCTTAACACTTTCTCTCCAACTCAGCTTCTCATGAAACAAAAAGGAGATGACAGGCTGACTTGCTAGTGCTCTACAAAATTTCCATACCTGTAAATCAGTCCAATTTGATACACTGTCTTTAGCAGTGTTTTAGATACAGATCAAGATTGAATTTCTACAGTTTCCTGTTAAGCATTGTCAATGTAAAGCTTTACTACCTGTTGTTTTGCAAAGTGATCCTTGATCAAGGAGCCCATGACCTGCTGTGGGGACTTAGTGGTACTAATATAAGGAATAACAAAACTTCCATGAGTCTTCTCCGCATAGCAGATCCAACCTGAGATGAGATGAAGTATAATTAATGCACAGACTTTCAGTGGTTTCAGAAACAGCTTTATTACCAACCAATAACAACCATTTTCAGCCTCTCTCCTGTACACATTATAAGCATAACTTTTACCACAGGGCTGTGTCTACACTGGCAAGTTATTCCGGAAAATCAGCTGCTTTTCCAGAAAAACTTGCCAGTTGTCTACACTGGCCGCTTGAATTTCTGGAAAAGCACTAATGATCTAATGTAAAATCATCAGTGCTTTTCCGGAAAAACTATGCTGCTCCCATTCGGGCAAAAGTCTTTTTCCGGAAAACTGTTCCGGAAAAGGGCCAGTGTAGACAGCACAGTAGTATTTTCTGCAAAAAAGCTCCGATCACGAAAATGACGATCGGGGCTTTTTTGTGGAAAACCGCGTCTAGATTGGCCACGGACGCTTTTCCGCAAAAAGTGCTTTTCCGGAAAAGAGTCCTGCCAATCTAGACGTGCTTTTCCGAAAATGCTTTTAACAGAAAACTTTTCCGTTAAAAGCATTTCCGGAAAATCATGCCAGTCTGCCCAGGAGTCTGGGACAAGAAACTAGCTTCAAAAAGTAACAATCCACTTAAACATCTGTACCACTATGGGTAAGAATTTCTATATTTCATATAATCCCAATCAGGAACAAGTGTCTTTCTTTCTAAGAGCAGTAAATACATTTTTAATACCATCACAGCACAGTAGTCCCTGTCTAAATGTAACAGAACATCAACAGAAGTTCATGGCACCAAGAGCAAGTCTCACTTCACTTACAAGTGGTTTTAGCTATTATTAACTCTTTACATAAGAACATAAGAATGAATGGCCGTACTGGGTCAGACCAAAGGTCCGTCTAGCCCAGTAGCATGTCTGCTGACAGTGGCCAGCACCAGGTGCCCTGGAGCGGGTGGACCGAAGACAATGATCAAGCAATTTGTCTCATGCCATCCCTCTCCAGCCTCTGACAAACAGAGGCCAGGGACACCATTTCTATCCCCTGGCTAATAGCCTTTTGTGGACCTAACCTCCATGAATTTATCTAACTTCTCTTTAAAACTCTGTTATAGTCCTAGCCTTCACAGCCTCCTCTGGCAAGGAGTTCCACAGGTTGACTATGTGCTGTGTGAACTTTCTTTTATTAGTTTTAAACCTGCTACCCATTAATTTCATTTGGTGTCCTCTAGTTCTTCTATTATGGGAACTAATACATAACTTTTCTTTATTCACCCACTCCACACTACTCATGATTTTATATACCTCTATCATATCCTCCCCTTTCAGTAGTTATTACATTTCTCTCTGCTGTTAGTTAGCTACATTATCTAATCACTTCTATAGAGATTTTAACTATTTTACAGTATACCTGGACAGGCAGAAGCTAACATGGGCAAAGCCTTTTTATCTTCAGTTTTCCTTTGAAAGCGTCGTACAAACTCTCGCTGGCTCTCCAGCAAGCTGAAGTTTCTTGAGAAAGTTGTATCAAATACATAATGCACACCTAGATAGCATAAAGATTGTTTTAAAGCCACCAAGAAATTGACAAATGCCACAAACGACACCAAAAACAATCCAATCCAAATAGATTAAGTTCTGGTATCTATATTTTAGAGATTTGTGCATCTGTCTGTGAACCCATTTGTTCAAGAATTCCTCCTAAACGGTAAGAGCTAGGACCACCAAAATTTGGTCTGCAGCTTTCTCTTATCCTAACTTAAAGCAAGGCCTAGGCTTATTGGGCAGTTGACTACTCGACCGGTTGTTTACATCCCTATCCTGTCCCCCACTGCCATTGTCCCCAGTGTTGGACTGAGAGGCCCCGCCAACTCCACAGCCCTCTTCTTCCCTCTCCCCACTCTGGCCCCACCGTCATGGCCCCTTCCTCCCTCCAGCCTGGGGGAGTGTCATCGGAAGGCCTGAATAGTCCCTTCCTTGGGCTACACCCAGGCAACACCGGTAAGTCTGCTAGTTTTTACATACCTATAGACTTGTAATTAGAAACGGAACCGTTCCCGAGTACATAATAAGAAAGACTAATAGTAAAACTGGATTAGAAAACTGAATTGATGATAAAGTGTTTTAGGATCCCTTTCCTTGAACTGAGGGTAAAAAGCCATGAAAAACACAGAAGTTTGAATTCCCAATAATGTTAAGATTTTTCAAACGGTAATTGGAGGCTTATTCATGCAATTTCCACAAACTTTAACAGAGGATGCACTTGGAATGTTAGTAAGATATATCCCAAAATTTCATCTGTGCTCACCTAAATTTTTTAAGAATGCTGTCAACTTTTTTGCCGTCTCTAGAGGAGTAATGTTAAATCTTGCAGCTAGTGAGGCTCTGGATTGTGGGGAAACAGAAACTACAACTAGTTTCTGTTGATTCAGAGCTGCAGTCTGAAAAACAAGAAGTGGAATATGAACATTTCCTGAATAATTAAGATACAGCGTCTTTGATATGCTAGTAATTTAGAAGTCTTAGAGGGGTAGCCATGTTAGTCTGTGACCAAAAAAAGAATGGTCCTGCAGCTCCTTAGAGACTAGCAAAAAAGTAGATGGTATAATGAGTCTCCTTGCTCCATTCATCTGAAGAAGTGGGTTGTGCCCACGAAAGCTCATGATACCACCTACTTTTTTGTTAGTCTTTAAGGTGCTGCAGGACCATTCTTTTTTTTTTTAGTAATTCATAAGATACTTGTTCATGACCAAGTGTTTTCTTTTTAAAGTTTGATTCAGTGGGGGACATGTTGCACTTCTAAATCAAGAGATTGCTACATTAAATATTATGATCCTTTCACAAACTTATTTTGACAAACAAAAGAACAGATAAATATGCCGTGCTATAGATGTGCTACAGTAATTTTGGTTTTTGAAGACTAATCTGGATACAGAATACCTTTTTACATGTTACTTTGCATATGCTTCAGCAAACCAATCACTCATACACAGTATGATTTTCAAATTCTTGAGCCAACCTGCTGGTTACTGCATTGGTTAGGTATCACATACCTTATTGAAATTTAACACTTTGTAAAGTTCTTCATGGCTCTGCTGTGTGATTAACACACTTTCTGCTGATGTGATGCAGCCACTACAAGCTAAGCAATCATTCAGGGTAATTTTAGCCTTTTCAAGCTTTTGTGCTCCTCCATCCTTAGGGGGGAATAAAACAGATTAGACTGAGTCTTAGCCATAGGACTCAGATTCACACGCAGAACATGTCAAAGACAACCGGCTGCATGGTACCTATTTCCAGGTACATTTCTAAACAGACAGCAGTAATACAACAGCATCCCACATTCATCTCAACATGGAGATCAAGTTATTTAAAAAAGCACCATCCCAATTTTGTGCAGAAAGTATACCCTAGCTCCCTGAAGTTGAAAGTATCATTTCCACAACGCTCCCAGCTCATATAGTCCATAAACTATTCCCCAACTACTGTAATTCTACTTTTGCAACCATAAAAATAGTTTGGTACAATTCTGTAGGCTTTGAGCCTTTATGCAATTACATAAGCCTCTTTACAACTATCTTGTAAAGAATTAGAACCAAAAATAAATCAGCATCTAGTGACAGGCATCATCTCAAACTGAGTGATCTGGATTGTCATCACTATTGCAATCATTTGGTATCATATATTTAATAGCTGTAATCATTGTGTAGCATGCCCAGAAAGTACCTTATTCTGCATTTAAATATGTTACAAGGGAAAACATTCTTACTTGATTGATTTGAAAATAGGTTCCATCATCTTCAATGCGGATCTTAGCTGCTGTTTTTCCAGGTTTTTTTTCAACTTTTATTGGCTTTACACATTCCTAAAACAGAAATAAAAGCAAAAAAGTAAAGAGAGGAAACTTTAGCTAGGAAAGAGGCAGGAGAGAAAAAGACTGAAACGGAGTATAAACAAAAATCAGTTCTGGAGTGGAAACTGCTTAAAGCTGCATCAGATTCTTTGTTTAGTATACAAGCTTACAATTCCTGTAACCATAAAGCAGACAAGCAAAACATAATCAAACAGACAAAATCTGCTTACCTTATTTTTACAGAATGAACATTTTTCTAACATAATAACCAAAACCGTAGAACAATTTTGCTGACAGAGTGAAACACTCAGATTTAAAGAAGGCTTGTTTAAAACAGATGATTGTCTTCGAAGTTCTGTCCCTCCCAGAATCTTTAAGGGCAATCAAGCATTCTTCATTGTGAGGTTTAGCAGACAGGAGGCGTGGTCATTACATTCAAGGTGTGGCAACTACCAATAAAGTTTCATTTGATATTGAGGGCAAGTAGATGACTTTATGTGGATTGTTTCCAGTTTAGTGTGCTAGAGTTCAGTAACTGAAGTTTTGAGGGTTTTTTATACTTTACAAAAGTTGCGTTGTTTGTGCATCCACACCTCCTTTGTCTAGAAGTCTGGCTAGTAGCCCTACCAGAATTCATCCTTACCTTAAATCACGCTTATTTTATCAAAATCCTTTTCTCCATCTTGACTACAGAACATTCTGCTCCTATAATCTCTGCTCTAAATTTAGGGGGCTTCAAAATGCTCCCATTGCAGAGAGGGACAAAGCACTCTGAAGCCACAGTTATGCTCACTGAATCTACATAAATGAATGAATAAATAAAACCTGTCCATGGATTTACTCCCCACTTCTAATCTGCATTTCTATGACCTCTCCCTATACTCCTCCTCTCTTGTGGCTCACTGTTGCTATTGCTGCTGTATTAGCAACTCTCCAGTAGGGATGCTGAATATGGATTAATTGAATAGTTGAGTAATCTAATGAATTCTTATTGGTTACTGGACTATTCTGTAGTCCCCTGGGGCAGGGCAGGTAGCCAATGTACCAGAGACAGCAGTGCAGGGTGTCAGGCAGGAGCTGGTCCATGAGGGGACCCAGTTTAAAAACCAGCTCCCCTTGTGGACTGGCTGCCTGTTGCCCAGAGCTGCTGCCTCTGATAAAGTGGTAGCAGTGTGGGGTGGCAGCAGCTCCTGTCTAAGGTGTGTCTCAGCTCCTGGACCCAGCATGAGCCCGAACTGAGCCAGGCTGCCTGCCTGGCTCCTAATACACTTTCAATACAGAGGTGCAGCAGAAGTAGGTTCTGGACAGGCAAGGGTGGGGGTAGGGAAATGCATGTAGTCTATAGCATTAACCTATATGCTTTTGCTTATTGGTTAGTCAACTATACTATTACATCCCTACTCTCTAGGCTTGCTTTCCTATTTGCTCTGGTTTTCAAATGACAGCAAATACAGGTACTCCCCGAGTTACAAACATCCAACTTACAAACATCCGCACATACACACACAAGCTCACCTACAGTCTAGGGGAGCAGGCAAAATGCACAGGCGGTGGTGAGCAGTGCAAGTGCTAGCTGGAGGACTCCGGAGGAGCAGGGAGTAGTCACGCAGCCAGTGGCTGGAGAGAAGCGGTACTTTGAAGGAGAAACTGCCGCTTCTCTCCCTACTGGCTGCAAAGCCACCCCCTGCTCCTCTGAAGTCCTCCGGCCCATGCTTGCTACTTCTGGTGAGCAGCAGCTGGGTGCAGCCTGTGGAGAGGGGAAGGATGGTGGGGGAGAGGGTTAGGGTTAGGGTTAGGGTTAGGGTTGTAGTCCCCTGGGGCAGGGCAGGTAGCCAATGTACCAGAGACAGCAGTGCAGGGTGTCAGGCAGGAGCTGGTCCATGAGGGGACCCAGTTTAAAAACCAGCTCCCCTTGTGGACTGGCTGCCTGTTGCCCAGAGCTGCTGCCTCTGATAAAGTGGTAGCAGTGTGGGGTGGCAGCAGCTCCTGTCTAAGGTGTGTCTCAGCTCCTGGACCCAGCATGAGCCCGAACTGAGCCAGGCTGCCTGCCTGGCTCCTAATACACTTTCAATACAGAGGTGCAGCAGAAGTAGGTTCTGGACAGGCAAGGGTGGGGGTAGGGAAATGCATGTAGTCTATAGCATTAACCTATATGCTTTTGCTGATTGGTTAGTCAACTATACTATTACATCCCTACTCTCTAGGCTTGCTTTCCTATTTGCTCTGGTTTTCAAATGACAGCAAATACAGGTACTCCCCGAGTTACAAACATCCAACTTACAAACATCCGCACATACACACACAAGCTCACCTACAGTCTAGGGGAGCAGGCAAAATGCACAGGCGGTGGTGAGCAGTGCAAGTGCTAGCTGGAGGACTCCGGAGGAGCAGGGAGTAGTCACGCAGCCAGTGGCTGGAGAGAAGCGGTACTTTGAAGGAGAAACTGCCGCTTCTCTCCCTACTGGCTGCAAAGCCACCCCCTGCTCCTCTGAAGTCCTCCGGCCCATGCTTGCTACTTCTGGTGAGCAGCAGCTGGGTGCAGCCTGTGGAGAGGGGAAGGATGGTGGGGGAGAGGGGCCAGAGGATTCCCAGAAGCCCCCCTCAGAACTTCCACCTACCGCCTCATCCTCCTGCACAGGTGGCTGACAAGATGTTAAGTCCAGTACCCAGCTGGCCACTCCCTTCCTGGTGCAACTGCCCCCAGTGGTCATTCTGCATTCTAGCATCTGTCCTCTCTGCCCCCTCCCTTTCCATATTATGGAAAACAACAGAATTCCACGGACATCTCATTTTCCTAGCAGTCAAACCCTGTCCTTGCTTTGTGTTAGGAGAAGAGGAAGCTGCCTACCACATTTGGTGGTCCTAGCTCTTACCATTTAGGAGCAGCTCTTGAGCAAACAGACTTTCAGATAGACACACAAATGTCTAAAATATATAGAGAGATTTCAGCTTCATTATGGGTTAAAAAGGCTTTTGTGGGCCAGCCTGGGAACCTAACTACCATTGATAACATGGATTCTGTGTGAAAATGCATTCCAGGTTCCAAATAACCAACTCATAAAAGTAACTTTTTGAACACAAACCATTTGTAAGTTTGGGGATTTTCTGTACTCTCGTTCACCTCTGATCCTGCCACTTTCTACTCCCTCCATACCACAGCTGCTTTGTTTAGGATTCGGACTCATGTCTTTTCTATTCTTCTATGTCACCTTTCCTTTTTAAGCAATTCTACCTGTTTGGAAGAGACTATTTATAAATTATATTCTATTGTAATCCATAAGATATCTTAGACCTGTTTTAAAAGTAATATTACAGGGGCCCTTGAAAGAACAAAAAAAAAGTTATTGGAAGATTTCATCTCAGCTTGTTTTCCAAATGTCCTAGAAGTGCAGAAGAAAGTTTCCACTGATTGTGTGGTGCTGTTGAACTGCTAATTAGCTGCTGTGCTTTATTTCAGAGATGGCTGCACTTCAGCAATTAAACAAAGAACAAACTCCCTTTTCTGGAGGAATTAAAACATAAATGTAATAACAGTGCATGTCAATTACACCTTCCACCCTAAGAGTTCAGAACTGTAAAGGAGACATACAGGGACATCCACAGCTCATTGAAACAGAAAACTTATTTCAAATCAACCAGAAAACAAAACTCATGTAGGGTTGATTGTGACCTGTCAGCATGGGTCCAGTCTGGCAGGGTGGAGATGAAAGGCAGGTCAGTGAAAAGCCCCCAGTGGCAACCAGTTGGGGAAAGAAATAGTACTTGATCTGACAATTACACCTAGAGCTCCCCCAACCTAGGGCTATCCAGCCCAGGGCAAAGAAGCCCAGAGGACCCTGGCATGGGTTTGGAGCAAGATTCCTTCTAAATTTGTGTGTCCACAAAGCTACCTAATCAGCCCTGCACTGGCGCTAAGGTCTGCAATGCACAGAGGGCCCGTTCCTACTGTCACTCATCACCATGTTGGTGTGGAATGAATTTTGGTCATAAAAAAATTATAAGGCACGTTGACTGGGAGCAGAGAGAAGACAGAGGTACTGGCTCAAGGGCTCCCCGGAGGAACCTTTCCAAGCATTCACCTGCCAGGAGGGGGGACTGAGGAAAGAGAAAGCAACCCGCTACATTGCACAGAGGGCCCGTTCCTACTGTCACTCATCACCATGTTGGTGTGGAATGAATTTTGGTCATAAAAAAATTATAAGGCACGTTGACTGGGAGCAGAGAGAAGACAGAGGTACTGGCTCAAGGGCTCCCCGGAGGAACCTTTCCAAGCATTCACCTGCCAGGAGGGGGGACTGAGGAAAGAGAAAGCAACCCGCTACATCCCCC